CATTTTATGCTTAGACTAAGCAAAGATAATCAGTTTGATTACTCGATAATTTTGAAAAAGATAAATGTGCATTTAATTAATATGTGTCATCTGTTTCTCTTGGGATTTCGGCAGGGGACATCAGCCTCACTGTTGGCTTGTTTCTCTACATACTTTAATTTGAATTTTGGCTTAATCATTTGACAGATGTACAAATTTTAAATTTAAAAAAAAAATGATATCACATTAAAGATGGGTTCCCGCATACAAATTAGGTGATTTAATGGTATATATGGACTAAAAAACATATTCAAACTAATTAATTTGTCATAACTTTGCTTCAAATCCATCTCAAACATTGTATATATACCAAAATTACCATACTTATATTGGAAATAACCACCCGAAAAAAACTTTTCTGGGAACTCATCTTTAAAGAAGCCATGTAAATGTAAATTTGAAAAAGTATAGAAACATGACTAACAGTTAAATATGACATACCTGCTACAAAATAAACAGATTGTCCAAATTACCAAAACATGACAAACAAATACAAAATACCTGATTTACTAAAAACATTCTCATTTTAAAGCTTAGGGAAGCCATATATTGAAAGATCTGGTAGACATTGAGGATGTCACTAGCACATTATTTAATTACAGGTAGTGCTTAAATGGGGAACACCTAGAATTTTTCTACAGGTTGATCCAAGGGGCTGTAATTTGTTAGAATATAGAAATAAATGGGCTATCACATGGAAGTGTTCTATAAGAAAAATAAAAAACAGCACCTGGACTGTCTTTGTTTTATCTTAAAAATAACGTCAAATTCACTGATGCCCAAAATTGATGTGAAGTGTTAGTCTGGTATCGAATCTCATGAAAAAAATCTAATGGTGATTATTTTGTACAGGATACACAGGAAGTTGATGAAACTAATAATATTATTGATCTTATAATTAATGGCTCCCTCAATAATTCAGCCTTCAAACACAACAAATATAACCTGATGGTATGTACGTGCTTTGAAAGTCATATAGAATGTACCTGATCAAGATATAATAATTTAGCATGATACACTGAACGATTTATACTATTGTTGTCACAAAATGTTACATATTATGGGAATCTGTAACAAAAGCTAGGACATGTTCTTTCTTTCTAGTTACCATAGCAGAAATGCCAACCCCAAAAATATATACACATTTATAAACAGTAACAATAAAAAAAAATATGGCTTCATTTGTTAAGGGAGCAGCAAGAAAAAGATCCTATATGTGGCATAATCCAAAGGATCAGACATTTTAATATTAAAAATAAACCATCAAGTCTTCAAACCTTCAACAGTAGAGCATTTAAAATTACTGTTTATGTGTGTTTCTGATTGATTAGATTTGTCACACATGCAATTTTTAATAAATATTTGCTAAAATTATAGGGAGTTCTGATTTTGACCTGGGCCTTTAATATCAGTGTTTGTATTGATAAATCCTTAAAGACTGATGTTGAACTTTCGTGACAAATAAAGCAGGAGAAAAAATTACAAATAAGCAATTGTATGGCATGCTATGATAAATTATTTATTGGGTAAATGTTGTCTGCGAATAATTACATACTATGGTTAATAGAACATGGTTTGAGTAAGAAAAATAGATTCAGACTTGAACAATCTTAATCTGAAATTTTAAGCAATTACACTCAATAAATGATAGAAATCCATATGTAATTTAAAAAAAACTTTGACAAGCAACCCACCAATTACAGTCAGTCAAAGAATGCTTATATGTAGACATTTCAAATATTTTTTTTCTTTACTGTTTACCATTTCATTTTCATGTTGAAATGTATACTGGATACTACCGTATAAGGAACGGTTTCATTCACTATTTTACTGAAATCAACAAAAAAATTTACTCGGTCACACTGAAATGTATGTGGTTCTATATCAGCCACTAAACAACTGCCCCTCGCCAGCCTATGCTGACACCTGGTTAAATTAATTATAAAGTCAAAAGGATAAAGAAGGCACCCTGGTTTAATGTTAACATCAACCTAAAAGACAAACTAAACTACCAACCCTGACCGGCCTTCCCTGACCGCCAAGGTAAGTTAACCAGAAGTCAAGAGGATAAAGAAGGTAATCTGATATAAGATTGAAAAGCGGAGCTTAGTGCTGGCACGATATATTGTTGAATAGATGTATCGCGATTCACCTTCTCACAACTTGTGTATTACATCACAAGACGCTGAATCAGTGTTTTGAGATCCTTTTTTATGTTTTTTGTTGCTTCAGTAAATAAACGGTCACTTTTAATTATCTACATCACACATTATCCATAGGTACACAAACACTCTTAAATTGTTTGGGTCCTTGTCGTGATATAAAACAGTTTCATTTCTTCAACATCAACAGGATTAGAAATATCAATCAATTATTATTTATCATGTTGTTTTCTTGGTAAATATTGACCTGATTATGAATCGTGATGCGAATTGTACCATAGCACCTATCGTATAGTGACTGCAGTGGCAGTACCCAGCACTAGCCGAGCTCATCCACTGTCCTAAAACACGAATCGGATCTTCTGAGAGACCAGCCATAAATGCTGCTGTAGCAACTCCACCTCGAAAGGATTTAAGCCAAGGAATGTCAAAAGTTTGATTTCGAATCCCCGGTTTTACGTGACAAGGAGTATGGTTGCCTGTCCAACCTCATGGGTTTTCTCCAGGTCCTCCGGTTTCCTCCCATTGCTAAAGACCACTACGCGCAAGCGGATTATTGAAATAAAATTAAACCATATGTTAGTCCCGAAATGACCTAGTTTGTGTCGAGTGGACGTTAAACCCCATTTCTCTCTCTCTCTCAAAAGTTTGACAAAATATCAATCAACAGGGACACTATCTGCAAATTGAAATAATGGACTGGAGAAGTTTGTTGTAAATTGTAAACATGACCAAAGGTTGCAAGGGTGCACAAGTAATTTTTATACACCCACATTTTATTGTCGTCGCCCCTGTCTGTCCGTCCACAATTTGTTTAACTCCCAAAGATCTTGGTTCCTTTTGATATTGGCATATATCGGACTGTAACTTACGGATTATGGCCCTGATTGTACGAAAAATCATGTTTTTAGCCTGTGGACACCCAAGAGGTCATAATTTTTCTCCGATTTTGATGAACTTGAAATTTATGTTTATAACTCAACGATCTCAGTTTCTTTCGATATTCGCGCATATTGGACTGTAACTTCCTGAATTATGGCCCCTGATTGTAGGGAAAGTCACAATATCAAGGTTGTGGATCCTGTAGAGTTTAACTTTCATCAGTTAAATAGCTGGCTTCTTTAGTGAGAAATTTTCTAAGTGTGCCGTTCAAAATTCTGCGATACACTGGTTGAGAATCACTGCTCTAGAGGGTCACAATTTTTATCCGATTAAAAAAAAGAACTTTTAAATTTATCACCATTACCCTATAATGACCGTTGAGTTCGGATTAAAAAAAAAATGTTTAAATTTATCTCCGTTACCCCATAATGACTGTTGAGTTCGGATCCAGCCAAGGGGCTGCTGTTCTCACTTGCTGAAATTGAAAACGGGATAAGTGATCAGCAATGTATTTTGCAAGGAGAAAGATATTGGAAATACAAACAAGAACTATGCGACGTATTAAAGCCATTAAATGAGGGCATTTCAAAGTCATTTTTATATGCCCACATTACAGTGTGAGCATATATGTCGCCACCCTGTCTGTCGGCCAGTCTGTCAACAATTTAAAGTTGCAATTTCATATTTTTAAGTTATATTTTTAAAATTTATTAAAATAAAGCCTTAAAATAGATGGTATCTATAAACAGTCCTACCTTGTTAAAGAATAATCCTATAATTCACTATTGCCAGTTGAGAAATTGGCAAAAATACCATTTTCATCTTCAAATTCAAACGTTTGAATTTAGCTACTCCATGGTGGAGAATAGAAAACAAGGGAGGTAATTGTGTTATTATTTCCGGTGTAAATGAGTTTTAAGTGTGAGAATGACACCTATGATCGTATAATAGTGAGTAGACAATCTATTGAGCAAAAGACATAGAAATAATTATGTTTTGACTTTCTTAGAAAATATGAAATTGTAACTTTAACAGATTCTTTTCAAATTTGGTGTGAAGAATTGAGATCACGAGAGAATGAACCATATGGACTCAGACTAGCAATTATTTGCCCATTGACTTCAATGTTAAATGGCTGTAACATCACAGGCTGTAGCTTTTTTCTCAACATTCCGTTGGTTCCAATCTTTATAGGCACAATGGGGACAACATTTGGCAATCTCCTCATCATAATTTTGTAGGGGGTTGACCATTTAGATTTTTTGCTACACGGATTTGAAGTTGACTGGGGTGAAAATCTCACTTCCGACACAATGACTGCTCTGCAGAAAGACACTTTACACCCCCTATCCCTCCGCTGTAATATCATCAGTATTACCCAAAACTGCTATGAAATTGCAAATTTGATCCCTTTTCTCCAATTCTAGACCAAAAAGTCAACCCAAAAATGCAGGAAGAGGGGAGAAAAAAATTAAGGGAAAAATTGTCTATTTATAACTCGCACTACATTCGTCCATCATGAAATAAGGGGAAATAATTACTAGTCTTAGTCCTATATACCTCACATGTTTCTGCAGTTTAAACAAATCTGTTGTTATCTAATAAACAAACATATATGCAATTCCCTGACCAAAGAATATGAAAATCTATGCATTTTCAGATGAGCTGTGCGGCATTCTGCAAACACTATAATGCATCAGAAAACTGCGGAATTTCAGACAGAAATTTAAAAGCACATGAATTTTGAATTAAACAGAACATTTTTATTTTTGAACATAAATGCATTCTGTAAAAAGATGAGATAAATTCAATATAAATCAAACACGAAAATACTTTAAAACAGTAATCATGATGCAATATTAGACTTTTTAACACTTTCATCGAAAACCACACAGTTTTTCTCTGTTAACGTAGTTTCAAGTGCCAAATTGTGGTCAAATCTAAAATGTTGAAACATGCAGTGCCTATCAATTTTAAAATATCTCCTATATAGCTGTATTTCCATAGGATAAGTAAGTTGAAATAATCTGATTATGTAACACTACAACAGCTTTTTCATCCCTACCCCCCAGTTTGGAATCTGATAATTTAAAAGCACATGAATTTTGAATTCCACAGAACATTTTTATTTTTGAACATAAATGCATTCTTCAAAAAGATGAGATGAATTCAATATAAATCAAACACGAAAATACTTTAAAACAGTAATCATGATGCAATATTAGACTTTTAACACTTTCATCGAAAACCACACAGTTTTTCTCTGTTAACATAGTTTTAAGTGCCAAATTGTGGTCAAATCTAAAATGTTGAAACATGCAGTGCCTATGAATTTCAAAATATCTCCTATATAGCTGTATTTCCACAGGATAAGTAAGTTGAAATAATCTGATTATGTAACACTACAACAGTTTTTTCATCCCCACCCCCCGGTATGGAATCTGATACATTGCTGACCAATCATAGGTCGCCCCGTTCACTCGAGCCTGTCAAATGATTTACAATGGCGATGGTGCCTACAACTTTCCTGACCAAGAGATATGCACAACCGTCGATCAACACACAAGCCATTAATGTTATCTTCCAATATGAGAGGCCATGATAAACACACAAGCGTCCTTTTCAAGCTCGGAAATTAAGTCATCACCAAAAAGCAAAGTTTACAGAGGTCCCAAACTGATTACGATTTGCCCTCCACTTCCACCACAGGTGTCATAGAGATCAGGGATGAAATTGATATGCATCATCGTTCTCCTAAAGCCAGTCCAGGAAGAGATCAGGTTTTGAGATGTAGACCTGAAATGTTAAATTTGGATGAGAATGAGAATTCTGGGGCGAATACTATCCAGGGAAATGGTCATTGACATCCAGAAAATGGTCAAAATGTGGAATTCTGTCATCCAGTTAAATGTCAAGGGGAGAAGACAGGCCTGTGCAGTACCAAATTTCCAGCCCATTACTATTAGTGAGCAGAAGTGGGGATGAGGTTGGATTTACTTCTTAAAGTGTATGAAATGCACATTTATCTCACCTGTTTTGCTTCTTTTTTTTTAATACTTGTGTTGAGGTCAATCATTCCACTCTATGAAACATTGCCCTGGCACCTGAAATGATAGGAGGCTGGGGATAAATATGCAATAAAAAACAGTGAGAAAATAAGAAAAAAATATGGTTTCAACTGGAAATAGAAATAAACCTCTTTATTTCTCGCGAACAGCCCGTCACTGGCCCTCCAAAAAGAAACCAGTTAACAATCAGTAAAAAAGTAAACCTTGAGTGTCACATAAGTCTAAGCCAATCTCAAAGGTAGATGCCATGTTTTGAGGTTCGGTCTAAATATTAAGGCCAACTGCATGTTTGGTCAAAAGTCACACAGGTGTGAATTTTGGAGTGTACATGTTAACATTTCATTGTATGATGTCAAAAACATGTTAGGTCTAAATGTTAAGGCCAACTGCAGACTTGGTTCAAGGTCACAACATGTAAATAGGGTTAGGGCACATGATTTTTTTACACAATTGTGGGTTTGGGCTAGGGTCAGAACTAGGTCTTGGCTTAGGCCTAGGCTACATGCTTTTTGACAAGATTGTGGGTTAGGGTTAGGGTAAGGACTGGGTCTTGGGTTAGGGTTAGGGTCAGCCTTGTTTACATCTCGTGACTTTAGACCAAATCTGGAGTTGAGTTGGCCTTAATATTTAGACCTAACCATGTTTTGATATCATTGTGAAGAAAATGTTACACATTTACAACCCAAAATTCACACTCAACCAACGGATACCCCCAATCATGGCTATTTTGATACCAAATAGTCAAAAAACTTACTGCTGGGCAATAAAAAAGCAGTATTCTTACTATTTCTAACACTTTCCATTCAAAACTTCAGGAAATAAGCCCTTGAAAAAATATCAACATCCCGAGTCGGCCATGTTTCTTTATCTCATCAGGACTCAGACTAGCAATTATTTGCCCATTGACTTCAATGTTAAATGGCTGTAACATCACAGGCTGTAGCTTTTTTCTCAACATTCCGTTGGTTCCAATCTTTATAGGCACAATGGGGACAACATTTGGCAATCTCCTCATCATAATTTTGTAGGGGGTTGACCATTTAGATTTTTTGCTACACGGATTTGAAGTTGACTGGGGTGAAAATCTCACTTCCGACACAATGACTGCTCTGCAGAAAGACACTTTACACCCCCTATCCCTCCGCTGTAATATCATCAGTATTACCCAAAACTGCTATGAAATTGCAAATTTGATCCCTTTTCTCCAATTCTAGACCAAAAAGTCAACCCAAAAATGCAGGAAGAGGGGAGAAAAAAATTAAGGGAAAAATTGTCTATTTATAACTCGCACTACATTCGTCCATCATGAAATAAGGGGAAATAATTACTAGTCTTAGTCCATATCAATTGTCAGAGTTATCCCCCTCTTGCCAAAAACCATGTGAACCTGATACAGGCTGTAGAAATGGACAGATTTTTTTCAAATTTGGTGTGAAGCATTAGGGTCATGAGGAGACCATCACTATTCAGCGTTCTGTGACTTTCCGTTTTAAAGTTATTTCCCTGTTGTCAAAAACCTTATGAATGCGATAGAGGCTACAGTTGGTGTGAAGCATTGTGATCATGAGAGGACAAACCCTAGTAATATTCAGTGTATCGTGATTTTCCTTTCCCATGCTATCCTCCCCTTTGGCGTAAACCTTGTGAAAGCAATACTGTGTTACACAATTGACATGATTCAAGAACATGTCACTTAACACCTTATCAGATTACAATCCACAGATGGTCGACACTGGCACTGGTCTGACACGGCCAATGGCCACGTAGAAGTCATTAGTTACTACCCCAGGCCTGAGTTATGATGCAATAATAGGCATCTGCATAATCTCTTCCGTCATCCTTTGTCTAGAAGTGGTTTTATAAGCAGAAATCAAACTGAGATTGTTCAATTAAGGGCAGACTAGGCGAGGGCGTCTAGAAGTTAACTTGGGACCGGCAGGTCTCGAGTTAAGACCAGACAGCAGCCGTGTAAGTTATCTTCAAGAACCTAACATAAAGACCCAATACTGTAACAACTGGCTGTAATTGACAGTTTTTTTTTCAAATGTGGTTGGAAGTATTGAGGTCATAGATTTCTTCAAGGATTTTAGATCCTTATCAAATTTGCTCAACATCCAAGTTTGTGTGCCTATCTTGTTGAGGACAAAGAGCACAGATTCATTATCCTTCAGGAACAGGACTTTACGATTAAACAGTAAACAACCCCAATGTTCAATTGCAAGCTCCACAAACCACTGTGATCCAAACACAGCAGTTAAAAAAAAAAAAACTTTAAGATGATCACACCCTATTCAAGCATCACTTACGAACATGCAGCAACCAGATCTAAAAGACAGCTCTTGCAGAAGTCATAATAAAAACGAATTAAATGGAAATAGTTACATTACAGTTGAGGTCGTTTAAGTAAATAAAAGGTATGTAAATGCATTCATTTTAATATTTCCAATAATAGCATAAATAAGTTCATAGCCATTTATTTGTAAAATAGTAAAAGTACCCTTTCCAGTAGAAATTATAAGCCAACATGTCTCAGAATTCACCAGATTGCAGTAATTAGAAAAGTAATGTCTGAAAAAGATATGAATCTAACAATTAGAAAGTTGTATACGCTTTACGATTTTTCCTAATGTTGAGAATAATCATGAGACGCATTATCTATACTAACGTCCAAAAGAAAGTATACACTGTGCATTTTGTGCTGCATCAACCAAAGTTGTTTTTCCATGGTATACGGTATTGGGGTAGAATGTCAATTTGTTTCACATTTTTATTTTGCTTAGAAATGTTGAGTTTGGCCGCAAGAGACAAACTCAATAATGCTTTATCAAATGTTTTTAATCTAAACAAAACTTAGTCATACTTTTAGTGTGTATACTTTCTTTTGGACGTCAGTATATAAATAAAGTTTTACTGAGACATCAAAACAAGTTATTTTTTAAATCAGAAGGATTCGTGGTGATGGTGCGTGTGTATGTGGGGGGCGGGGGGTGGTCACATGAAACAACAAGTATTGAACATTGTCACTTATAAGTGATAATATCCTTCTTGTGGTCAAACTGGTGTCATATGATGTGATTACTGAGACAATAACACTATGAATTATTACCTCACTCGGGACCAATAAACACCAAGACTCATCTTGTTAAAACTAATGCCTTTCTCCCAGTTAGTCTGGGACACTTGATTAGCTGATTAGCTAAACCACCACATTGTAACTCAGCAGAAAATCATGTCGAACAACAAGATGAATATGTGATTCGCAGAAAACTAATTAATTGTGGATTCTGCAGCAAATCTTTTTGGCTCTGCAACAAATGCATTGGTACCTTTAAACAAAACACATCCAATGACATTTATCATTTTGCCATCATCTATTAGCTATTCTGATTAGATCAGCCAATCAAAGAGAATCTCATTAATATTCATGAAGTGGGTCAAAGGTTAATCTGAATGTGAGCTTGCGAGCATAACGCAAAACAAGAGAATAATGAATATTCATTTCATGAGGACTGAAGCTAATCTTGGTCATGATTAATGTCGTATTTTTGGCATGTTTTTGTGTGTTCTGTGTCAAGGATGGAAGAAATATGGCTGCTAAGATAAGAATGAAATATAGTTTCTGTTTTGATCTTAATCGAAGATGAAAGAGACGTTCAGTTCTGAACAGTCCAGACATTGTAGATTAACTTTAAAAAAAACAACAAAAAAAACAAGAAAAAGATAATCAAATGGGTAGTGCATAATCGTTCTATGCCAATAAGTTTTGTATGCTGAATTATGACAAAATGTTGTAGGCGAGAGACAATTTTATTTTCAATAGGACATATTGTGACAGGAACTGGGATGAATTCCTATTCTTGCCCACAATGGGCCTGTAGGAATATGGTTTTCAAATAGGATGTAATTTTTATGAATGTGCATGAATTCATCCTTGTTGATAATAGACTCATTGTCAGAAACATAAATATTCTGAAAGAGATTCTGAATAAAGAATAGTCTCAATCTCTCCAGCTGAAATTGTCAATACTTCAATTACAACAATTATTTGTCTGGATAGAAAAAGATTTAATTATCTAAACAGGTCATACAAGGATATCCATATTTCCTATGATTGTTTGAATAAAGAAATTACCTTTACTTTAAAGAATGATAGTATTGGTGGATTGAGATTATATACCCTAGAGCCTGGCGATACAGTTTTGGTGCGGAGATTAGCTTTCAAGGAAGGAAGACACAAGTTAGCAGATAAATGGGAGGATAAACCATATAAGATCCTTAGACAACCCAACAAAGAAATCCCAGTGTAGGAGGAAAGAGAAAAATGGCTTTACATCGATCGTAACCATTTACGATCAGCAGTCTTCCTGAGATAGAACTCATCAGTAATCGACCAACACCTAAACCACCGAGAGTCCAACTACCGAAGGTGACAGAAAGAGACAGAAAGTGAAGAGGATGAGCCTGTTTGTCTATTGGAAAGCGCAGATTTCCTGCGCCCAGCTAGACCAGCACAGACACAGGATAGAGAGGATGTAATGGAACCTGAGTTTGATAGTTTACATCAAGATGGTGGAAATAGGCCTCCAGCATCAGCCTCAGATTCAGACACATCAGATGAACCACTTTTGTCAGAAAGCCCCGATCCAAGATGATCAGGGATTGAGAGGAAACCACAAACTGCTGGATAAAATGGTTGTTCCTTCTATGCAAATAGTGTAAAAGCATGTAATACCAAGGTTGTGGACACTCTTGAAGTCACAATTTTTATCCAATTTTAATGAAACTTGAAATGTATGATTATAATGCAAAGATCTTGGTTCCTGTCGATATTTGCACATATTGGACCCTAACTTCCTGGATTATGGCCCCAGATTCTATGAAAAATGCATTTTAAGCTTGTGGACTTGTAGAGGTCACAATTTTTATCTGATTTTAAAAAATGTTTAAATGTATCACCGGTAGGCCTACATCCTTATGATAGTTGAGTTTGAATTTCGTGAAATTCAGACCGAAACTGTCTGGCAAAATGGCCGCTCTTTGTACGCGAATAGTGTAAAAGTATGTAATACCATGGTTGTGGACCCTCTAGATGTGACAATTTTTATCCGATTTGGATCAAACTTAAAATATATCTTTATATCCCAAATATCGCAGTCCCTTTCGTTATTTGTGCATTTCAGATGATTACTTCCTGGATTATGGCCTCTGATTGTACGGAAAGTCACTTTTTTTTTCTTTTTTCTTTTTTTTTTAGCTTGATCTCTATCGATCTTTTACAAAATGTTGGCATATCTTGCCTGGCAACAGCTGGTTGATAACTTGAACAGCTAAATATGAATGTTGTGTATTTTAAACGTTAGCATGGGATAGAACTAGAAGCCAAACAAATTCTAAAGATTTTCTCATAATTACTCTTAGGTCCCCCCCCCCCCAAAAAAAAATGTTTTGTTTCTGGTAACCCAATTGACCCGTTCAGGCTACTCTAAGCCTGCCAGATTCGTGAAAATGCCTATAAATGAATATAAATGTCATCGAAATAGGCGCGAACAGGGAATGATTATTGAGAACTGCCATACTGTTGACGCGAGATTGCTAACTGATGTGAAAATCGAGACTACAGGTTTTGTATAGATTTACCACTGCACATTCCGAAAAGCTAATCCTCACAACTTTCGTTCTAATAAGTAACGGCACGCTACCCTATTTTCCATTTGTTACAGGAACCCTTTCTTTTTTTGGGCCTTAATAAGATTTTAGTGTATTATAAATGTTTCATTATCGACAAAAGAAAAAATATGCGACAACGCTTCGACTTAGCTGCTGTTGGCGTATGTTTCGTTGCTTGGCAACCTAGTTTTAGGATAAAGTATTTCTTTTTATTTATTTGCAATTATGAATAGGGGATATGCTTCAATACAAATCCACTAATTATATATAGCATAGGGAGGGAAGCCCTGTTGGATTAATTATCTATAGGGATTAGAGAGGTGCTCTGTTAATCAGCTATAGGGTTCAATGAGTTAAGGTTATGAGACGATAAAACCTATTGATTTTCAATAATTTCCAATAATTAATGTCAAGAGTTATGGCCCTTGATCAGTTTTAAAAATCTTGTTGATGCGCTATAGGCTCCAATTAGCGTTTGATTGACTTCAAATTTATACACATTGGTTATGGTTAAGGTCATGAGACGAAGAAGACTATTGATTTTCCACAATTCCTGATAGTTACTGCCAATGTTATGGCCCTTGACCACAGTGATCATCCGATTGACTTCAAATTT